TAAACTTGTTCCTTAGTCACATCAGTGAATTCAAGTTGGGCTGCTGAAAGAGACAGTGACAGGAGAAAACTGAAACATTACAGAGAGAAGGAGAAACAACATATAAAATATTCAACTTGGCGACAGTGAGACATCTAGAGACACGTTCAGTCTCAAAAATGTGTTATTTCGCAGAGTACGTGATCAGCTGTGAGTGACAGGCAGTGGGTTCTACACGCCGTGTGACTCTGTTATCGTAGCAAGGTCATTGTAGGAACGAGCCTCACCAAGAAATGTGTTCGGCAAGTGCAGTGAGGCCTGAGCAGAGAGGTTGGGGAACTGTGTTTCATTGCTCAGCCAAAAAAAACACAAGTTTGAAACATATTAAACACTCGATCATTCCTGATGACACTTTTCCCAGGTTTTATGTCTACAAACAAACGGTGATGAAACTACCATCCTTTCTCCCAACTATGGGTGATAAACTAGGAAACCTCACATATAACCTGCTTCCTCTTAGCTCATAGTATGTTTTGTTTTGTTTTGTTTTGTTTTTTTTAAATTAAAACCAATCATATTGTCACCGAGCTTGATGCAATGGCCATTTTTCCCGACTCGAATTTCCCGAATTTGTCATGTAACTGAAGCAGATTGTGATCAGTGCCTTTGTTCTTGCACAATACCTCAATTAGGAGTTGAGAGCATGTGATTTGACCTTGATCAAATCAGCACCGCTGTGCATGTAATACGAAATCTGACTCTGCTCTTCTCAGAGAGAAAGCCCAGTGTAGATAACCTCTTGAAGAGACTTTTAAAACTGTAGAAATATTTGTCCCTACTGGTAACAATGTGAGGTTTTTGTCATCTTCTTTTGTTTTTTTCTGTATTTTATTCTACTGAAAAACCTTGGGTCTTGACATTGATATGCATATTTGCCAACTTACCAAGAAGCAGGATATTGCACCCTGACACATTGCAATTCTCTCCCAGTGCTCCAGTGCTAGAAACTACAAGACAATCCAATGTGTATGGGCTGCTTTGATGACATAAATGGGATCCTTTGATGACATAAATGGGATCGCTCCACTATACAGTGCAGGTGGTTTGTTGTTGTGGCTGATCTGTGAATAGAGTAGATGGATGACGAGTATTGCTTTAGTGTCCAAACTACACTGCATGCTGTACCAAAGCAATCAGTCAGCCTTTAAAGAATCTGCTTATTTGCACTCTTTTGCATACCATCAGTTCTCCTAGCAACATTGCTATCAGTGCAGAATATTTAAGAAACTTTTTTAGACTTTTTTTCCTCTTCTAGCAACGGATGTCAGCTTTTGTCAAATAAAATCTTTGCCCTGTAGCCTGCAACGACCACTACCAGATTGTGGTCTGCCCATTGAAAATCACTGACCTATTCAGTGCATAGCTCACTGATGCAGCACAGTCAGAAGTGACACTTTCTTCTGTGTCACTTCTGACTGTGCTCCCTGTGTGCTGCAGCACTTTGGATTCCAAACAAAACACTGAGTTAAATTTAAACTTTATAGCCATAGCCAGTGAACGTCACAGATGATACTTTACAAAATCCATGTCGGGAGGAGGTGAGGGTTGATGGGAAGGTCAACAACTTTGGACAGCGATGCATTCACTTATTCAAGGTGTTTCTTTTAACCATGATAATTACATAACCTAAACAGTGTGTTTATTATAAAATCAAGTGCAGCTCTTCAAGGGAAGAGAGAAAACCACAACATCCACTAAAGCAGTTTCTGTCACTGTTGATGTGTAACTCACAAGTATTCATTGCATTACCAAATTTCAAGTACAAACTATGTCATAACTATGTACAAACTACTTTTCTTGCACCATATGGACTTTCATTCTGCTTGTTCCTGTGCGGTCCTAAAATACATCATTCTTAAACCATACAATCAATATCTGTATAAATACTTACCCTGCAGAGAAACTCAAACTAGGTGGCATAATACTGTTTGAGACTGACATGTTTCTATGCTCCGTTTCCAAAACAAGATGAAAAAATACAGTTAGGTATCATATTTTTTTGTAACCTTGTGAAGAAAATGAGCTTTTTGTTATTCAAATGCATTTTTAAATTTAAATAGACAATAACTATGGGAATTGGGAACATTTCTAGCCAAAGATGGAATAAAAAAGACTCACAGTGTAACTGGAAGTATTTTTTGTTGCGTGGAAAGACATTTTGGAATCCGTCCTTTGTCATCAATTATGGAGCAATATGTTGGTAAGCAATGCTGGATTACTGTTATTAAGAAAGCAGGCAGCACTCTTGCCTGTTATTTGTGTACTCTAGATTTTTCATAGAGGGTATTATCTTTTCAAATCCTTTTCCATTACGAAGATAAGCATGTTTACTGATGCAAAACAAAAAAGGCTATTCCATGAGTTCCAGTATTAATGATACAGAATACTGAGTTCTAAACTATATATGTGAGTATTTAGCATAAATGGATTTCAAATCTTTCTGTGATGCTAATACACACTTTCTTTCCAGTGTTTTTCCAAGGGCCTTTAATTTGAAAATTAACTGTCTGTTTTAATCAGTGTGGCTGTGCGTGTGTATAAGCAAATGATATGAGTGTTTGGGTGGCTCTGCGTGGATTTTGTTTTTTATGGCTTTCAGTGAAAAATGGAAAATGGAAACAATACAAATCGGACAAATGATTATACTCTGACTAACCAAAGCAAGGTCTTAAACTATATCTGTCTACAGTAAATAAAAATATGACATTCTTTTAAAAATTCCCCTCTGGATCCAAAAACAATGTGCATAATTATGAAGCAGTTACCTAGTTTTGACAACACACAGTCGTTGAGCATATGCCCCCTCGTGCACTTGCACAGTGCTGCTCTTTTGTTGGAGGAGTCTGCTTCTCTCAGCCACCAGTCACTTCTAATATTGGGTTGTTTAAGTGAGATGTCAGAGAGGGAATCTTTTCGTGTAACTTTGACCAGATCTTTGACCTGAGAGGCGGGCAGAGGGCAACCCTCCCAGCAGCTGTCACATCTTATTACCTACAGCGCACCAGGCTACAGTGTTGAGCTCTCCTTGTGTTTATACACCAGTAAATATGTGTGTGGTTTAAAGTCCTGGGCAAGGTATGTACTTTCACAACAGGGCTGTAGCAGTGCAAACATGACCGTTGTTTAAATACCAAATCAATTTTTTTTAATACCGTTTTTCTTGTTACAGCATGTTAACTATTAACCTTAAGCATGGTGGGATTGGTGGCATTTCAGCATACTGAAGTCAACAATGCTATAAAAAAAAATCATCATAGGCAAGATGTCACTTCACAGTGTAACTGTGTCAGGCAGATAGATCCACTGCAGATGGCAACACCCCGACAAGAGCTGCAGTTTAGCAATCTACAATTTGCCTAAACATTACAATTTTTCCATAGTCAAACTCACTCGAATCCTTACACATGCCCATTTTTCCTGGTTCTAACACATCAACTCTAAGGACTAAATGTTCATGTGATTCCTAAAATATCCCACCTACTAAAAGGAGCCAAGAGATAATTAGTTATTCAGTTCCCGTCAGTGGTCATAACGGTATGCCTGACTGGTGTAATGTATTATGGAACGATCTGGAGGCCTAACAAATTGAACACAATATTTTTCATGATATTTCTTCATCCAAGCCATCCTGCTAAAAAGGTTCACACACCTTTGTTAATATGATTTCTATAGAAGCTTAAAATATGACAAAATTGCTGTATCTCGGTTTTAGTACATACATGAACAATGGATTGCCCTGTCACTGGCACTCTTATATGGAGCAAAACTGTTTGCACTTTGCGCTTCCCTTTAATCACAGGCTTAATCTGCAACACTATCAGGCTGAACAAGACAAAGCCCAGCAAATTTCAGAAAGTGTGGATATTGACTTATTTTGATCATATCACCCTACACCAGTGGTTCTTAACCTTTTTGGAGGTACCGAACCCCACCATTTTCATATGCACATTCACTGAACCCCTCTTTAGTGAAAAATAAAATAAGATTTTTTTCAAATTCAAGACATATATATGTTTTTTACTGGTGCACAAAATGAGCCGTGCATGTCACGGCGGAGGTTCTGCCGAACCCCTGAGACCGACTCACCGAACCCCTAGGGTTCGATCGAACCCAGGTTAAGAACCACTGCCCTACACCAACAAGTCATGCATGGAGCTGCACTGATACATTGACATGCAAGAAACAAAATCCAAGTTTACAGTCAAGCAAGAGCTGCAAGATGAAGCACTGTATATTTGCCACTTACTTCTATTACAAGCCACTTTTCTGTCACATGCACTACACAGGCAAGTTGCTAAGGAAGTAGAGCTGCTGCTCAGTCCCCGGCTCCTCCACATGCAGGGCCTCAGGTTCTTTTCTAAAGATATGTTTCTCTTTTTTCAAGAAATATTGCCAACTGTAATTATCGTCATGTACTGGTAAATCATTTGAGTTGTCACATAGTGTGTACCTCCTCGAGTCAACTGTATATCACTGCTGGACTTGGGAAGATATTTAGGTTGTTAATTTTTACAGTGCAGTGCTCGCACCATAAATAATGGATCAGAGAGATGTACTCTCCCAGGAAGGTGCAAAGACCTAACACCTCTGGGGTGAGCCTCTGTATGCATGCTGCACACCAGAGACAAAGTGTGAATGAGCAAGGAGAAGAAATAGAAAGGGGGAAAAAAAGGGGCGCTACTGGAAACAACTCTGCAGCCAAATGGTGTGATTTCTAAGAGACTTTGATCCCTGCTGCGGCAAACAAGCTGGAGATGTGTTTGGCTGTCTAATGTGGGCATCCGCTGACCCAGCTCTGCTGTCGCGGCAGTGGTTTTGTTCTGATTGGCTGAACCGCCCCAGATCAAAGAACAGGCAGAACATCAAATGACACAAAATGAGCTGAAGTTTCAGGTTCGCGCTTGTTGCCAGGAAAATGTTTTGACTGACAGTGATGTTGCTGCGTGTGTTCGTGTCCTCAGATATTGACGAGTGTGCAGAGGGCCTGATTGAGTGCCACAACCACTCCCGCTGTGTCAACCTGCCTGGCTGGTACCACTGTGAATGCAGAAGTGGTTTCCATGACAATGGCTCCTACCTGCTCGACGGGAGCTCCTGCATCGGTGAGCATACACTGAATTGAAACTTATCACTACTGGAAACATCACCTCCTCAGCTTCTGTGTGCCCGCCACCTAGCAGCTGTAGACTCGTCTCTTTTTCTCTGTCTAATTATACTGTTACTTTCTATCTTCCATCTCTAAACCTAAGCACAGAATGCGATGTTGTGTATTGGTTTAGCACATTTGTGTTTGATTTAACATGCCCTCTATGGGACAACCAGTCTAATTAAAGGTCTTGTCACCTTTAGAGCTCGAGATCCAACCGCTTGGTGTGAGCTATTCATGGGAACACATGTCGGCCTTGTGCCATTGTTATAGTTTTTGTGTTGGGGGAATTTCGCCAGCCAATAACAAGAAACAGTATTGGCATTTTTTGTGCTATTTGCTTTTCCCATGGCTGAACAAAAACCAGAGTTTATTTTTCCTAAATTTTGAGCGGTCGGGTGTGACTCACACTTTGGTTACATAGGTTACTGTGAGGCTATTTTATGTAGAAGGTTGCTTTGAGCTAGTGTTTAGCAGATTTACACTACATTGCCAAAAGCATTTGCTCATCTGCCTTCATATGTATATGACTTGACTGACATTCCATTCTTAATCCATAGGGTTTAGGAGGTTTAGGAGTGTCTTTATGGGAATTTTTGACCGTTCTTCCAGAAGCAGATTTATGAGGTCAGTCACTGATGTTGGACGAGAAGGCCTGGCTCACAGTCTCTGCTTTAATTTATCCCAAAGGTTTTCTGTTGGGTTGAGGACAGGACTCTGTGCAGGCCAGTCAAGTTCTTCCACACCAAACTTGGTCTGTGTCTTTATGGAGCTTGCTTTGTGCACTGGTGCACATGTTAGAACAGGACAGGGCCATCCCCAAACTGTTCCCGCAAAGTGGGGAGCATGAAATTGTCAAAAATATCTTGGTATGCTGAAGCATTAAGAGTTCTTTTCACTGGAAGGGGTTGAGAACAACTACTTAAAAAAGAAACATACCACAATTTCCCCCCCTATCAATCACCAAATTTTAGATTTTACACAGTGCAGTCAGACAAGGACCTCATCTATCAGATGAGGCATCCTATCACAATACCACACTGAAATTTACTGGGCTCCTGAGAGGGACCAATTCTTTCACACATGTTTTTAGAAGCAGTCTGCATGCCTAGTTGCTTAATTTTATACACCTGTGCCCATGGAAGTGACTGGAACACATAAATTCAATGATTTGGATGGCTGACTGAAGACTTTTGGCAATATAATGTAGCTAATGTTTAATTTGATTAAGATCACATTTGTTAATAGCAACAGAACTTGAGTAAACAGTAGCTGCTCGCTGATTCCTGATCCTGTGACATCAGTGCCTCATTTTATGTTTATTTCCCACATTCTTCCTTTACAAGAACAGAAGCTCAGATAAAAATTTCTCAAAAAATTCAAGCCATTGCTTTGCTTTTTTCTTTGCTTTTTTTTTTTTTGCCCATACACCATTGCAGAGTGTAATAGGTGTAGCGAACAGGATCGCTTGGCTGAGTGAAATGCTTTTGCCTTGATTTAACCTTTAAATCATATTGCAACATCAGCAGTCTGGTGTTGATTTATTTACTTGAAGAAGAGAGGCACGATTTCAGTAGATTCCCTTCCAAGAGAGTGAGTTTCACTTCAACTCAGTTCTGAAGGAAAGCGATAAGAGAGATGTACCAGAAATGTCAGACTTTAACCAACAACAGCTTTGCAGCACATTAACACACAGACTGAACACCCACCTCATATTGCCACACTACAAATGTTTTGCCATTATGATGTCCTATTTGCTCATTCAATTAGTGATTAAATCTTTTCATGCACAGTGACTTACAGGTCAGCACAACCACCTACTGCAAATATAATTCATGTTGGTCTCCAAAATACAAATAAAAACTTGTAGTATCTCAAATCCAGTTTTTCAGGTTTTTGCAGTTTTGTATACTTTTGCCAGGTATTTAGACAGTGGAGTGAAAGTGTTATTTCCCTCAGTGGTAATATTAAAGGAAAAAAATGACTACAGCTATCTGCTTGGTATCAAAAATACAGCCCATATAATCTTGCAGCTCTGAAATGATGGTGGCTTGGTTCTACATGGATATTGGCAGCTGCAGAGAGCTTACATCAGCTGCTGTGGATCGTGATGGTTTCAGTTGTTGTGAATAAAGCATCAGGAACTGCTGTAGAAAATCCTTCTTGCAATATAATCCACTTCTCCACTCTGGTTCTTAATTTCAACACATTCCACAAAGCTCCTTCCCTAAGTGCACCGCTTTTTTTGGGGTCATAGCTTTTCTTGTACTTCTATCAGAAGAAGTAGTATTTATTTGATCAAGTGTCTAGTGGCACAACAAGAAAACACTGTGTAATGAGATGTCTTTATGATAATACGATGCATAAATATGGTTGATTGCCTTCATCTAATGGTCTTTAGTTACTCTGATGTGCACATTCAGTCATGAGTCTTCAAGCAAGTCTAACTGGATGTTAACTTTCTTGTGTTCTGAGGCTTTATGACTGGAAATTTGGCGTATGCAGTGGTGTGATTAGTGAAAGCACTTGTGTTGCTTTCTAGGCTTCATAAATGTGGATGGTACGTGTCTGATGCGTTTGAGTGCATGTTGGAGAGATAGTATATCCGCCACCTTTTCTCCGCCCAATTTACAGTATTAGGCTGGAAGCCGGCAGGGGAAATAAGTACAAATGACATTTTAACAGGATTTTCCCCCTTCCACAATATCCCTCCAACAGCCCTTCATGAGTCAACCGAACATAAAGTAGCATTTTGTAATAAGAAAGCCAGCTCGAAGCAGGGAGCAGCAATACTAGTCAGTTAACCACGTCGTTGGCTCTGTGTTTGCCAAGAGCGTGTCACCACCGCACAGGGTGAAACAGTTACTCCTCGTCATTATTTTTTTACAGAATATCCAACAGATTAACAATAAAGGTTTGTGGGAGCAACAGTGTGGAGATGGAAAACTTCAAAGACTTTTGATGAACCAGCACCCTCCCTAAATGAATATCTATGAGATATGATTGCTCTCATATTTTCATACACAGAACTGCTTCTATGTGGATAGCTTCTCATTCACTTGTTTTTTGTTTTTCTTTTCATTAGCCACTGAGATCTATGCATAAAATGCCAAATCCTGTCCTTTTACTGATATTGGGTTAAGGAGGTGGGAGTAGGAAAACACTTGGAAAACACTTCAGAGCTCAATGGGGGGAACAAACACTCATGATATCTAAACTGACATGGATCGAGTAATGTGATAGGAACAAAGGGATGCTACATTGTTTGATGGAAATGGAAATGATCAACAGAGGGCGGAATTCAAAGACATCCCAAAAATCAAAATGAAAAAATGGTGCAACCCTTTCATGTCTGTCACATGTGCTCAGGGTGAGCCTGCTCTCATCTGTGAGAAACACAGGTCGCCAGCAGTGGACCTGTGCTAATTCTGATATTCTACGGCAAATGCCAGTCGGGCTCCACGGTGGCAGGCAGTGAGCACAGGGCCCACTAGAGGACGTTGGGCCCTCAGGCCACCCTCATGCCACCAGTACTGACGCTCACCCTAGCCAAACAAAACAGTCAGGAAACATGTGGAGGGAAAAATGTCAGAGGTGTTCCCTACCCTGCACCCTTTCGGCCATGCAGGAGATGGCTAGGGACAAGAATTAGAGACTCTTTGTACAAATGTAAGTAATTGCATATAGCAAAGAGGTTAGGACACACAAATCTAATACTCAAATAGCTTCACTTTAACATATTACTTTAAAATAAACTGGAATAGGTTCCGGTTATGTGGTGGCAAAAATAACTCAAGTGGTAATCAGTAGGAAATATTCTGTGTTTTGGCAAAAAAGGAAATTAGGGAATTATACAGTGTTGGTGGATGTGTGCCCTGTGAAAATGGCTGGTATGAAAAGGACGTGTCACTTTTTTTTAATATATATATATATGTTTTGTTGTAACGTTGGCATTAATTTCTGTCTTTGAACGTAGAGCAAATGACTCAGCTGCTCTGAGGGCATCCTGCTGTGTGACACATGGATCTACAAGAGTGTTTTATTTGTGAAGCCACTAAGTGCACTCTGCCTCAGTTTGGGCGTGAGAGGGCCATTAATCAGCTGTCACACAGGCGCTTCAAACACATCCGCATAGTCTGCCTTCCTCTCTCTGTCATATTGTGTTTTCTCACGATAGATTTCACTGCATTCTTAGTTCTGTGTGTTGGCTTGGCTACACCACGTCGCGATGCCCCAGGCAAAACACTGTATAGTGTTGCATTGTGCCACGCAACTCTGCTGTGGTGAGGCTGTGACTGAAAGCTGCATGGGCTGCGTTTTGACAGTCGTTCATTACGCCTAATGCTTTAGGGGGAGACAGGTGGCTTTAATAAACAGATTGTGAATAAAGATGAGGATAATACCGCATAAACTCGCACTGTCTCCCTGCAAGACAGGGTTTCTGCATCATTTTCCCTCTCTCTGTGGTGTACGTGACCTTTTCCATATGGACTGCCTGGAGACATACCAAAGAAAAATAGTGTAAATACTAAAATACCCAAGCTTTCTGAAGCTCTATAATTACCAGCATCTGTCAGAGGGATTTAGTAATTTGTGCGCTTGTTGTAAATGTGTGTTATCATGTACATACGCAGGATTAGTGCTTTCATGTGTAACAGCACATTTAACTGCAAGTGTAAGTTCTACATGTGATTGGCTGTGCTCAGATGGTTACTCTAAAGGGCTTTTTGTATTTAGTCGTCTTTCGTAGGCCACATGTGAGGGCAGGCTTCATCTGTGAGCAGCAGCTTGTGGCTGAATGTGGCAAATGTAGCATGAAGAGCATTAATCCTCCACCAGCAGAGGTACAGTGAGTCTGACTGGCTGATGGGGATTTCATTTAGCGTATGCAAATAGTCTGTTGCTGGCACAATAAATTCCCGACTGCGCCGCTTTCTGATCTCTATCTCTCTGTATCGTGCAAACTTGATACTGCAACCAATTAGAGCGCTATACATTAAGCAGTGTCACCATTGTTGGGGATGATTTGGCAACAGGCACTGGCCAAGATTCATGTATCCACACAAAGCAGGTCTGCCTGCTGGGTACCACTCATCATTTTCCACCAGCAGTAACATAAATATATGTTGCATGGTGTTAACAGTCTGAGCAACTTGTGCCAGAGGTGCTAAAAATGTCAGTGTAACACTCCAAAGGTACAAGTCATGTGTTTTTGTTGCTTTAGTGTGTCCTTTGATAACATTACAGTCTTATAGCAAGTTAATATTAGCTTGTAAGCACTGATTGAGGTAGCAATAAATCGCCTTACATTTGTTTGGCTGTGTTTTTCACTCACAATTCATAAAGCAGTACAAACTTTACAGCTGCCCCTGATCAGCTGTGTTATTTAAGATGCACTCTGG